CCACAGGAGAGATACAGAAAGACCCATCCCAGAACAGTAAATATCTTGGTAGTTAAGCCACTCACCTGGGATGTGGGAGACCTGGGATGTGTGTGTATTTTTATATATATATTTTTATATATATATATATATATATATATATATATAAAAATACACACACACACAAAACTGGCTTATCAGGATCATTTAACAGTATATAGACTTGTGTATGAGATTTTTCAAAGCTGACTAAGTGACTTGGACACCAAATCCTATTAAAATTAATCCCATTCTATATTTTTTATATATTAATACGCATATATATTTTATATAGTTTCTGATGCTTTTCATGCTGTCATTTAAAGTGCAAACAACGATGCCTTCAAATGGCTTTCTAAAATAAATCTTTGAGAGGTTTTTTTTTTAAATAGCTATTTTTAAAGGATAAGTAAAACTAAGCAATAAGACGAGTCTACCATGAGTAGGCCCATTGAAGTTAATAAGAATAAGTGTAAGGGTTTGCAGGATTGGGGCCTAAAATTGCATACTTTAGATGGCATTATAAGGCAGCAGGTTGAAGATTGCGTGTCTTTAATTTTTTTTGCTTATTTAAAATTCCCACAATAATTTACTTCCAAATCTGCTGAGTAGTATTGCTGTGCATTATTAAACAATTGTTTCATTTCACCATAGAGGTGGCTGCATTTCAATGAGGGGCAAAATGATGACTTTATACTCTTTGTGGCCAAACTGGTGGAGGGCCAATGCACAGGGAATAAGCAGAGTGGGTCATCTGCTACTGGTATCATGACAGCCAGTGCACAATTCCTCACTGATGACAGAGGCACCACTGAATGGTGGACATGTTGCTGCTTTTATAAGGAGGCTGTGTTTCAAGCAAGCACATCATGCCGACAGGAGTATGTACTAGTCAGCTGCAGGGTTGGGCATGTCTCCTAAACACCAGAATACACCTACACTGGGATGTCCTGTTAATGCTGGATTGTTAGCTCCTGGTGCTCTCAGTGATATGGAGAGAATTCTCACATTTTACAGGAAAAATGACATGGATGTAGCAAGTTGCCTGATGCTTGTAGAACATATTCAGTTTAGATCTGCATCTTTATTCCATATAAATACCTGGCCATTCTGACATGTTCCATTATACAGCGGAAACATTAATATGAGATTCTTTATTCATGTTAGATATGAGCATTGTATTTTTCCTAGAATACATTAATGTTAAAATTCACCTTTTTCCCCTTTTTTTTGTGAAGGATGTATGTAAGAATGGCTGCATTATTCCCTTCCTTGTTACTTTATTTCTGGATCTCAAAGTGGTTATAATCCTGAGGAAGAAGACCCAAATGTCTTAATAAATTATGGCAAACAATCCACTGATATAACATCATCATTCTGGAAAAACAAAAATTTGTTTTAAAAAAATTGGATGTAGAAATCCTCTAATAAAAGGAGACATTTAAAGTTTTCAAGGCTTTCAGCAATCCAGGTCTTACAAAATGAACCGTTACACAACCATGAAACAACTTGGCGATGGCACCTATGGCAGTGTACTCATGGGAAAGAGCAATGAGTCAGGCGAGCTTGTGGCTATCAAAAGGTATGTGATATTAAGTAAGTGTACTCTTAAATAGTTAAGATTGTAACTCCTTTATACTATGCTATTTATGCGCAAGAAAATAATTAAGATAATTTTTTCAAGTAAACTAAGATCTTAAAAAACAAAATTGTGTGTTCTTTTAGATGTCTGATTTGATGACCTCAAACCACATTCTCAACTGGTGTAAAACATTGTGGTTCCATGGAAGTCAATTGAGTTACACCAGCCAAGGATATGGCTTCTGAACAAAACCAGAATGTGATTTAAAAATCAATCATCGGTGTTTTTTCTCCTGGAGTAACTTTAGAAGAAAGTAATATAAGTGTGATTTTTTTCACCCAATAGAAGTCAAAGGGCAGAATTTGGCCTACAGTTGCTAATTTAGGAAAAAGCTGCTGGATCAGTGGTTATACTTGTTAGTTATACCATAATGCCCTGAATATTGTAGTAACTAATTTCTTGCATATGGTGTATATCAGAAATTTAAGGGTGACTGCAATATGCTTTTTGGTACGCTGAGATACTTTAAAGTGCCCACCAAATTCTTCTCAAGTTTACATATTGAATTCCCATGATAGCTATGTTCCTCTGGGAAAAGCTGAACTGTTTACTTCAAGAGTGGGACTTGAGAGAAGTGTGGGTGAAAGAACTTTCTTGACAGCTGACCTGTCACTGTGGAACTCGGTGGCCAGAAGAGATTGGAATAGCCACAAGCCTCCAGATTCAAATGGAAAATATGCTGCTTACACATGGTCTTCCAGCAATAAATATGTTAACTACTATAAAAACAGATATATTACCTCTTAACTGGCAGAAGGAGAGAAAGATCCTTACATGCATGCTTTAGCATTTGTAAGTAAGTTACTGTAATGATGAGCAATGTATAAGTACCTAGTTAAGTAAGTAAATAAGCAAGGTGACCGGTTTTAAATCTCTTCTTAAAACCATTAGGGCCTGGGCACCCTTAAATTCTTAGGACCTGAACCTCATCATATCTGTTCGGTTTTGTGCAGAAGGGCATAAAATAGGTCTACAAAAGCAACCTTTTTGTGACCCAGACATGATCCCATATAGAGCTTTTGGGGCAAATTATTCCTGTCGGGGAGGGGAGTTCGGTTTCTAACTTCTATGATTTACCAATCTGTGCAAGATGTAGGGCATTTAGTCCAGGGAGCATATGAGAACAGTTACTATTCCCACTGACCCTAGGCTTTGCCCTAGCATGGCTCCTCCATGGGTTTCAGCTGCAGAGGAATACCCCAGACCCTGTTGCAACACTTGTGTCCTGATTGATTACTACTTTGCCCATATACACATTAAAAAGAAATTACCTTACTCTGGTCCATTATAGAACAAGAAGTCTCTTTGTTCCTAAGGGTTTAAATTTGTTGTGCAAGAATGAGGTCTGACTCCATTAAATTTAATTTTGCTTTCACTACTTGTACTTTAGAAATGGTAGAACAGATGCATTTCATGTCTCATTAGATGCTGTAGTAGATTACTGTAAGCAATATATTCCTGCCTGTTTGCTTTGCCACACAATCCACTCTAACATAGCTGCTGGTCATCAGGGAATCTAAATAATAAATGTAACTTTAAGGTTTTCTTGGATCTTCTGACAGGTTAAAGATGAACACTAAAGCAATTCTGTTTCTAAAGGAAGAAACACATTGTGAGCAGGTGTCTTCCCCAACCTGCTTTAATTCAACCCTCATACTGTAGAGTTACAACTCTCTTCCCTCCCGCCCTTGGAATTTGGCTTTGTTTTCAAAGGCTTGGTAACTGGACACAAGCAAACAATATGCATTTTGATATAGCTAAATGTAAAGGTATACATCTAAGAACAAAGAATGCAGGCTGTACCAATAGGATGGGAGACTCTCTCCTAGGAAGCAGTGTCTGTGGGGAAAAAAAAAATTGGGGGATGTGGTGGATAATCAGCTGAACATGAGTTCCTGGTGTGCTACTGTGTCCAAAAGAGCTAATGTGATCCTTAGATGCATAAACAGGGGAATCTTGAGTAGGAGTAGGAAGGTTATTTTACCTCTGTATTTGGCACTGGTGTGCCCGCTGCTGGAATACTGTTTCCATTTCTGGTGTCTGCAATTTGGAGTGGGCTCAAAGAAGAGCCATGAAAATGATTAAAGGATTAGAAAACATGTCATAGTGATTGAGCTCTTTAAATCTGTCTATTTAGCTTAACAAAGAGAAGATTGAGTGACTTGATTACAGTCTATAAGAACCTACATGGGGAACAAATATTTAGTAATAGACCCTCTGCAGCCTAACAAAAGAAGGTATAACACAATCCAATGTTTGGAAGTTGAAGCTAGACAAATTCAGACTGGAAGTAAGGCATACATTTTTAACAGTGAGAGTAATTAACCATTGGATCAGTTTACCTAGGGTTGTGGTGGACTCTCCATCACTGGCAATTTTTAAATCAAAATTTTAGATGTGTTTCTAAAAGATCTGTCCCAGGAATTATTTTGGGGAAGTTCTATAGCCTGTGTTAAAGGGGATCAAACTAGATGATTGCAATGATCCCTTCTGGCCTTAGAATCTATGAATAAGTTAGTGAGCGTTTGACTTCGGGAAGAGCAAAATGAAGCCTGATGTTTGGATTCTAGTCTGTACATAACTTTCAGCAACCTGAGTATGTAGTCAGGCTCCCAGACCCCAGCAGGCTTGTACTCAGGCAGCTAGCCCATGCTGAAGTCAGTATCACCATGTCTGCGCACCACTATTGTTATCTACGCTAGCTAGATTGTCGCTAGCGTGGGTATGTCTACAATAGCACTTTCACTTACAGTGTAAGCATACCCTGAGGGTATGGCCTCAGAGTTCACAACAAAAGGAAGAGAGGCATCACAACAAAACAAGGAGAGGAACCTTCACTTAAAAGGATTATGGGGAGTTTCTGGAGGTCAATCACTCAGTTACTCCCTGTTTACATTGGAGCACCAGTGTCTCAGGCCTTGGCTACGCTTGGGGATTCGCAGCGCTGCCACGGCAGCGCTGTGAAGCGCAAGTGTAGTCTCCGAGGGGAATAGCTTGCAGTGCTGCGAGCGAGCGTGCAGCGCTGCAGGCGCTGATTACACTGGCGCTTTACAGCGCTGCACTCGCTGTGCTCGGGGGGGGGGATGCGTTTTCACACCCCAGAGCGCAGCAAGTTGCAGCGCTGTACAGCGCCAGTGTAGCCAAGGCCTCAGCCACTCCGCAGCAGCTGTTATTCCTCTCGGGGAGGTGGAGTACCTGCAGTGCTGTAGCCACGGAGATACAGCGCTGTAAGTGCTCTGCCAGTGTGGACGGGGAGTGAGTTACAGCGCTGGGGGAGGCTTTATTGCGCTGGAATGCTCAACTGTAGCCAAGGCCTGAGTGACCTCCCCTACTTCAAATTCCCAGGCCCATGTCTTATCCACTGGGTCATGCTGACTCCCAGAGTTAAGAATATAGGTCAAATTACATAGGTGGGGTAAAATGCTTGCTGATATTTATAGAACTCCTGGGGATACCTTGGTCTATGTGGCTAGCTACCGTTTGAAAACTCTGTGTAGTGGTTAAATATACATTACATTTAATTGTGGCAAACTTAAAAACAATGCAATTCAACTAGATTTAATAATTTTACTAAAGTATGTTTGAAACATATTGAAAATAGAATTTGATTGTTATGGTGCTGAAAAGTGACACATTCCTGATCTTTCTTGGTTCTAAGAATATTTTGTATGTATTATTCATTTAGAATAAACTGTATTTTCTGGATTTTATTTCAGGATGAAAAGAAAGTTCTATTCTTGGGATGAATGTATGAATTTGAGAGAAGTCAAGGTAAAACTGAGAGCATAATGTTTTTTAATGTATACTGAATGCTGTGTCTTTACCTTCTTGTTTAAATTTATACCTTGGTTAGTCCTAAATATAAAACCAGATTATTAAGGAGCTAGAGGGAAAGTTTATTCTCCTACCTGACGTTTTGGTTTTGAAGTTTTTACATCCAACAGTGTAACATAACATTTTAAATTAAACACTATATGAAGCAGTGTAGTGAACTGATTAATGGTGGAGCTGAAAAAAATCTGTATCTTGTGATTTGTGATATTTATACGATATGGAAGGCTCCTCCATTACTGTTTTCATCCAAGTCATATTCATTTATCGTGCATGCAAATGAATTTGGGTTGTGCTCTTGATTTTGATAGCAACCTTAAAATATCCATTTACTGTAAGTTTTCTGTTGATTGGCATTGTCTTTTTTACATGCAAATTATAGATAAATGAGTACCTGGTTGAAAAATATTGGATTTTTGCATGAAAATAGTTTCACTTGCACAAACTTGATACTCTTTGAAAATTTGGCCCTGAAGGTTTATTTTTTCATAAACGTAACACTGATGTGGAGGAATGCAAATAGAAGAAGTACAGAAAAATAGACAAGATACACTGCATTTGTCCAAGAACTAGGGTGACCAAACAGCACGTGTGAAAAATTGGGATGGGCGTGGGGGGTAATAGGAGCCTATATAAGAAAAAGACCCAAAAATTGGGACTGTCCCTATAAAATCGGGACATCTGGTCACCCTACCAAGAACTATTTCTAATGTAGAATTAACAAAACTTTAGGCATTGCACTATTTTAGCTCTGTCGGATGACCAAAATTACTGTCATAAGTTGAATACACATGTTGCTGTATTGCAGTCTCTTAAGAAGCTGAATCACGCTAATGTGATAAAACTGAAAGAAGTTATCAGAGAAAATGACCATCTTTATTTTGTGTTTGAGTATATGAAGGAAAATCTCTATCAGTTAATGAAGGACAGGTATGTTTCATTTGTAAAACGTAGCAGTAGAATCTGGTGTTTGCAATTTTTTTCATGAGTTCTATTGATATCTTGAGCAATGTGTTAAAATTTCTGTTTTAAGACCCATTCCATACTTAGTAGATTCAAATTAATAAAAGCTGAGGTCAACGGAAGTTATGTCTATGTATCTGAGGACAGAATTATGAATTGTTCAGCTTCTAGTATAGCTGGAATAACAGAACCAGATAAGAATTCTGATATAATCATATGCCTTGGGTGTATAATAGCCATGCAGGAATTTGTGAAAGTAATTTTCTTAAGCCCTTTAATGTATGAAGGACGAAATGTAGGCAACCTGTAGCCCATCAGGGTAATCTGCTGGCAGGCCGTGAGACAGTTTATTTACATTGACCATCCGCAGGCACAGCCGCCCGCAGTTCTTAGTGGCTGCAGTTCGCCCATCCCGGCCAATGGGAGCTGCGGGAAGTGGCGCGGGCTGCAGGGACTCGCTGGCTGCTGCTGCTTTCCGCAGCCCCCATTGGCTGGGAACAGCAAACCGTGGCCACTGGGAGCTGCGGGCGGCCGTGCCTGTGGATGGTCAATGTAAACACTGTCTTGCGGCCCGCCAGCGGATTACCCTGACAGGCCACGTGCGGCCTGCAGGTTGCCCACCACTAGACTAATATTTCACCAACTGTCTATATTGTTCGGTTTGGCTTGCAGAGGGTGGGGGCAGTGGGGAGTGGTTATAGGTACGCAGGAGAGAAAGAGAGAGAAGACCAACATGTTTATATACAGACTTGGAACTTGATCTTTCCATCCTTTTGCAGACAAAATACCCTTTGCAATCAGAGAGAGTTTTACTTGAATATGGAACTCCATATTAAGCCCTTGATTGTTAATATAAACATTTTGCTTTGTTCTTTCGCCCTTGATGTTCAGTTGCATCATAGTATATTGTGTAAAATGCTGTTCATTACAGGAAAAAAAATCTCTATAAAAATTGCTTGAAATCGTTAAATATTTTATCTAAATTTGTTTCTTTGCAGAAACAAGTTGTTCCCCGAGTCAGTCATCAGAAACATTATGTATCAAATATTACAAGGGTTAGCTTTTATCCATAAGCACGGTAGGTTTCTTTGTAGAATTTAACTGCAGCCCTCTTTTGAGAAAGATAATACACAGTAATCGTAGAAAAAACTTTATGGCTGGGGTTATAGGTTAAACAGATCAAGTTATAGTATTATAGAAAGTATGTGGCTGCCATATGTAGTCTCAAAAATGTGCTATCTTAAGAAAGCCGTCTGGATTTTTAAAATATATTTGGTGGTTCTGTAATCAGAGGCTCTCTTTTCTGAAAGCATCAATAATTATTATTTAGAGACTCCAATATTTCCTGTTAGTCTTAAGGTGCCATAGGACCCTCTGTTGCTTTTTATTTAGAGACTGTTTAGTACGTTTCAGCCCTAGATCAAAGATGATTTTGATGCTGAAGAAAATTGCATGTTGTGCTATACAGTGTATTTCTTATTTTTCTCAAGAGGGTATATTTGGGGACAATTGATACTTTGCAGATTACAGTTTCATTTATCTTTTAAGATATCAAAATAAAGTAGTGCAATATCTACAAAAATGTTGAAATAATTTGTTCACTAAAATACAAACTGAACATGTCTATTGCATGAAATGTAGCAGGTATGAGCAGCCGCAGCTCACTGAAGAAGTTGTGGGTGCACTGCATCTTTCAGAACTTACACAAATTTAGCAAAATATTGCACTTAATTTATTCTGCAAAGCATCTTTTAAACTGCATTCTGATATACTAGTATCAAGTCCCTTTATATTAAAAAGTATCATCCTACTCTCCTGTTCATTTTATCTTTATACTTTTTTCCTCCCTTCATCACTTTCTCTTCAATGTGCCAGAGAAAATAAGATGTGCACTGATAATGAAATAAAGAAAATAGTATTCCAAGTCATCTCTGGCTTAGCTTTTGTACACAAGCATAATAAGACTCTTAGATATAGTACTTCACTAAAAAGAACCTCTCCTATGCTTACTAACGTTGTAAGTGATCCCTAAAGTATTGTTTTAGTCTTTTTGATTTATGACCATAGATTATTCTCTGGTCATCAAACTTTCTATTTATACGCATAAAATAGATGAGTGAGTCACATGTAGAGAACATGTGAAAAAGTCTCATTTCTATAAAATGTTAACATGTTGTTCTAATCTTAGATATATGGGCATAGAAAGATGATGAAATTTACAAAATTACCTTTTGCCTTCATAATTAGAGCTGAATCCTTGTGATTTTAGATTTTCAGTACATAGTTAGTATGCATTATGCCTCTGGCGTTTAGGACAGTGATGAAGCTCCTCCACTCCTGTCTGTTTCTGGCAAGTCTTTCAGTGGTTCCCCAGCTGTGTCCCAGGTTTTTCAGCTCAGCTTCCACAGCTCTTTGCCACGTTGTTTTCGGGCGGCCTCATTTTCGCTTGCCTTCAGGTATCCATCTTAGTATAGTTCTGGTGATGGAATCAGTTTCTATCCGAAGGAGATGGCCAGTCTATCTCCAACGTCTCCTGATAATGATGGTACTACTCATATCTTCTTGGCTGAACATAGAAAACCAATAAATTCAGTAAATACTAAATTGCAGTATTGCTTAGTGGGGTCAATAGATAGATAGATTTGTAGAAAGTAACAACATATTTGAATTAAACAGCAAGGATGATTAGACCATGTAGAGGACGAAACCATGCTATACACAACCTAATTTTAAAACACAGATACCTAAATACAATTTGCAAATCCTGTATTTGGGTGCTCAAATTAGAATGTAGGTGCATGAAACAGACCTTTATATGTGTAACTGCTGATATGAATATCTAAAATCAGAATTTGGATGTCCTGTTAAAAGCCAATGTTTGGAAGCTGGTCCCAGAGTGATAAATAAAACTAACTCTTACAAGAAATGTTAACTGAAGAATTATGTCAGAGACTCTTGTTTATATATAAGAGGAAGAAACAAAAAAGTGCTCTGTTTCTAAAACTGGTTTCAGTTATTTAAAATTATTAAACAAAACAAACTTCCATTAACTACGGTTGCATTGATAGCCAAACCATCACAGTACAAAGTGAAACAGCTATTTCCTGAAAGCTGCTGCATGTTTTCGTTTTAAGTTTAGAGATTTAAAACCAGGTAGTTTGTGCTTATTAATTTACCAATAAATCCAATTAAATTATAGGAAAACTGTTTCCTTCCCTTATAATATAACATACGTATGTTGAAAGCGTGTGAATGAAAGAAAAGCTTATGGTCTCCAGAGAATCCCAAAGTGAATTTTGTATGGCTAAATCAAAGCTGGTTGCTGAACAAGTGATGGCATAATTTGTCTTTTTCTGTATATACTCACAGGTTTTTTCCATCGGGATATGAAGCCTGAAAACCTTCTCTGTATGGGTCCAGAGCTTGTGAAAATAGCTGATTTTGGATTGGCTAGAGAACTAAGATCTCAACCACCATACACAGATTATGTTTCTACCAGATGGTAAGTGATTTATGCAGTAAACGTATGACCTTAACTTACTCTCGCTTTGTACCACCACTTCTGAATTTGGCCCATTATTTCTTATAGGTACCGTGCGCCTGAAGTTTTGTTGAGATCTTCTGTTTATAGCTCTCCTATTGATATATGGGCTGTTGGTAGCATAATGGCTGAACTGTACACGCTGAGACCTCTTTTCCCAGGGACAAGCGAAGTAGATGAAATCTTCAAAATTTGCCAAGTATTAGGGACTCCAAAGAAGGTAAGTCCTATTGGAGATTTGTAGTAGTATACATTAATGAGAATAAAATGAATAAATCATATGGAGTGCTATCTTGCTTTTAGTGGGTGCATATAAACTATTGCTGTTGTAGTAATTGCTTGTGCAAACACTTGATGCTTTCTAAATTTTACTTTCGTTCTTATTGACGTATAGAATAATATTCCTGTTTTGTGTATTAACACCCTTTATATGATGTGTGTTTTTATATCTACTTACTCTACATCATGATGAAAGCCAGATAAATGAAAAATTGTTTTTTAAAAAAGAGGTTGCCCCTGTGGCTTTAAGGATATTTGCATTAAAATATTTTTTTCATTGTAACATTGCCAAATTAGTATTCTGAAAATTATGATGATGTCTTAATTAGAGAATTGTGAGGAAACAATGGAACACATAAACTGTTAAGATAAAGTGCTTCTGTTTTCATGTAAAATATTGTTAGCAATAGCATAAAGGGAGGAAAATGTACACAATCTGCAGGGTGTGAGAATTACTTTCAATTATTTTAGGCACCATATGCTATTTAAGGGCCAAGTTTTGATAAATGTAGGCTGAGTAGTGCTTACAAAAATGTGCACATGTACTTGCATTTTTGCACACGCATAAATTGCTTGCATAAGTAAATATCTGAGCAGGCAAATATTCGGGTATGCAAACCTTTATTTTTTGCAGGTACAAATCAGGTTTTGTTCTTTTTAAAACAATCGTAAATACTTAATTCTGCAATGAGTTACAAAAGTACTACATAGGTTATTATTTGTAGTACAGGCTAAATGCTTGTGCCACTTTACACAACACATAGAAAGACAGTTTCCACCCCAAGGAGCATACTGTTCAATTTGGACACAACTAACCATAGCACAACAGTTCAAATGGAAGGAGGTGTGGAGATGCAACAGTGTGGAGACTTCATGAAAGAAGGTTTGAAGGAGGAGGTGAATGATGCTTGGTGCATGGGAAATGAGACCAGAGGATGACATGAAAGAAGGTGACAGAAGCAAACAGTGGTATAAAGGAAAGGTACATGGGAGTCGGAGGACATGTAGGATTAATCAACAGAAGAGAGACGTAAGCAGGGGTGGAAGGTAAAACTGAGAAGCCTGAACTTAATGCTGAAGATGAGAGGAAGCCGGTGAAGGGATTTCAGGGGGCATTGGGGTAATAGGGTTGCAGTGGAAGCAGAAGACGACAACTTTACCTGCAGATTTTTTAATAGACTGAAGAGATGCAGGTATGCCAGGGCATTATGGATTCTCTCCACAAGATTAAGGATTTCAGCTTCCACCACTTGGGCTGTGCACCTCCCTCCTCAGCATGCAGGTTCTAGAATTCTGTTTTAATTTGATCCAAAACGATGTAGTGTGTTAACTCTCTGCCATCTTGTTTTCACTTTTTAACAGAGTGACTGGCCAGAAGGGTACCAGCTTGCGTCTGCCATGAATTTCCGCTTCCCACAATGTATCTCTATGCACCTCAAAACTCTCATTCCAAATGCCAGCAATGAGGCAATACAGCTTATGACTGATATGCTAAACTGGGATCCAAAGAAACGACCTACAGCAAGTCAGGTAAGACTGCCTAAGTGATGGATTCATTATAAGGCTAATAATTTATATAGTGCTTTAGATTAAAATGTTATGCTAGCAAAATGATCATCCTAGCACTGTAGGAAAGTAAAAATCAGCCTCCTATTTTGTAGATGTGGGTGGAAAGAAGACAGAAGAGAAGCCCAAATGTTCAAAGTTGGGTGGTTCAAAGTTGGGTGGTTCAACTAATATCAAACCCTGAGTTCTGTTCTCTCTGTAATTTGGTCTTGTTGATGCTGTCAGCACGGGTCCATATCAGAAACTCAGTCTCTGTCACACCCGACTTGACTAAATGCAGTCAGCAAGTGAAACTGTGTGAACTAAGCAATGTGGTCTCATGGACAGATCACTGACCTGGGATTCAGAGGACCTGGGTTGTTTTCCTGGTATCTGACCTGCTGTGTGACCTTGAGCAAATTACTTCTCTCTGTGCTTCATTTTCTCCATTTATAAAAGGGATAGTGATAAAACCTTCCCTTGTGAAATATTTTGAGATCCATGGGTGAAAAGTGCTATATAGGAGCTAAATATCTTTATTTGTAGATCTGAGGTGACCCTTCCTAAGCAATCAGGGACAAATTTTGTGGGGACTTCAACAATGGTCTATCACATCTTTTTCCATAAGAGTTTATAAAAAACCCAAATATGTGTACTGCCAAGTACCAAAGGTGTCTAAATTGGATACTTTTTTGTGGATAGCCAAAGTTAATGTAAGTACACTTATAGGATGTAAAAGAGGATTACAGTAGGGAATGCAACAGAAAAAGGGAAATATTGCAGGACAAGATGAAAATCCAACTAATCACATGTGGATATAATGCAGGCGACTCAAATGTGACTAAGCTGATGGTACAAAATAAATCAACCACCTCTCTCCACTTTAAAAAAAGAACTAGTATTACAAGAGTCACCTCTAGCACTGTAGACATCATACATACAATGCCACACAGGCCTTCTGTAAAAAGGAACAACTAGGTTTAACCTAAATTGCATTCTCAAGGAGTCAGCTGTGCAGTGCATAAAGGAGACTTTAGTGTGTGCTCATGGAAACAGGTGACGTAGTGCTAAATGTTATAATGTTGGAGCCCTGTAGAAATGTACCTATCACACATGCACTCTTCTCCCTCTGTTTTCTTCACCCACACCTACTGTTCATGTGTCCTTCCTCCTGCAGCGCAGAGCCAAGACATTCATTCTGCCTCTGCCCATTTGAAGCATGATACATCACAATGCTCTGTCCTCCTAATAGGAAGCACTGCTCTGGGGCCGCGGGTGGGATGAGGGCGCCATACTGTTGTTACCAGAAGTGAGTGTTGCAAATTCCTCCTTGAGCTGCAGGGAGTGGCCTAGCTTTCCCATCACCTCAGAGTTCTGGAACGTGGCTGACTCCATCTCCTCACCTAACCCTGACTGCTCTGCTGCTGGTCTGGTGCCCTGGCTACTGCTCCCCACCACTGGGCTGGAACCACCCTGAAGGGGTAAAGGGCAGTGGGGGGAACAGGGCTGATGGGATAAGGGTGGAGTTGAGGGGTTAGTGGGGGATCATTATTAGAGTGAACATGCCATTTCTTCTGAGTTTCTCTGCTGCCGGGGAGCCTGTTCCCCAAAGCTCCTCTTTTTCATCAAATACATTCTGGATTTAGTAATAACATTTCAAATATACACAGTTCTTCTCATCCTGGGTGATCTCAAAATATTTTACTACTTGCATACATATTGCCCTGTTCAAATGCAGCCTCCTCTGGGGTGAAAGGCAGCAAGCTGGTGCCCAGAGCAATGCAAAAAGGAAAAAAAGGAGGAGAGGCAGTGTGACGTACCAGAGTACAATCCAGACTAATGATCAGCTGTGTCACAATTAAAATAGCCTATAAGAAATAGTTGCCTGAAATGAATTGTATTACTCTATTTGGGTGTATTTATCTTCCCCAGCCCCCCTGCCTGCAACGCTGGGTGCCTTACAATGCCTTGCTGAAGTAGCTCCCACCTGGACCACACAAACAGCCTTGCAGCGTGCAAGCCACACCCTGAGAGAGAGAGAGAGTGTGTGTGTGTGTGTGTGTGACTGCAGCCTGCAAGCCACACTTGGGTTATGCTCTGGCTCTCATCAGCCTTGATTATGCTGCAGGGTGACCCCAATACCCCCCCAGTCTTAGATTTCCCCCCAGAAATGTATGTCTTATACCATACAGCCCTCTTCTGGATAGTAAAAATTGAATCAAGTCTTATTTATTTAAGAGAATAATATGCTCACAACTTGTCACTCTAAATAGTTACCCAGACACTTCAATTTAAACACACTGTGTTAGATAAAACAGGTTTGTATTCAATAAAGAGAGCTTTTAAGTGAGTACAAGTACTAAGGTATAAAAATCAGAAATGGTTACAAGAAAAATAAAGATAAGACATTTACTAATACTTAACTTAACAGACAATAGCCGATTCAAGCAAAGTTTCTCACCACATGCTTTCATCAGTCTTACTGACCAAACCCTTTAGGTTCGTACCCCTCCCTCAGAGTCCAGTGAATTCTTCCTTTATCTCTTCAGGTGCAGTGAATGCAATGGACAGGGAGATAGAGAGGGGTGCCTTGGGATGTTTATCCCTCCTTTTTATAGTTTCAGTCTCCCTCTTGAAAAACATTTCCAGCTGGGAACTCGAAGACAAAGAGTTGACGTGCAAGGATGCTCCCTGTTGGCTTTTTCTCATGCGGTTTTGATCTTTTTGTTTCCCTCCCGGCTTGATGACTCTGTTTACTGCTTAAGTGCAAATTAAGGCAAGCACTCATCCTTTGTTTAAGATAGATTTGCTTGCTAAATTCTGCTTGGGCAGGGCATCATACAGGGAGATCTTATAACTTTACATATAATGTTGACACACATTTTACCAGCACAATACTGACCAGAAAATTGAGTTTTTTCAAATGATACCTTACAAGGCATATCTTGTACAAAGATCATTACAATAGTGTGTAGGATGTGAATATAGGGGTATATTCTATCATGGGGGGAACTTTGGTTTATAACATTGGGCTTTACTTCTTGGAAAGTGCGATAGAGTTCTTTAATGTCCATGGAGAGCAGATAGACCCTCACTCAAAATATCCAATGCAATAAGTACATTGAGTTCAACTTGGATGGAAAAATGGCTGAACTAACCTGATAAGAAATTTAAAGTTGTGTTTTCAGGGAAGCTTGATATTTGGAGAAGTGGATTATAAACAAAATCAGTTAAATGTTTGGCAGAACTTGTTTTCCTTAAATGTTGTAATTCACAATAGAAAATTGTTTGGTTCTATGTAGTGTAGTGCCAGAAGCTGCTTCATGGGACGGGTTTTGTATACATTACAACTTTTACTAAAAATCCATGATGGTACTTAGAATATTCATTGCATATCTGCAAAGCACTGCAGTTTTCATTTTATATGATTTTGTATTTTAGTGCTTGTGATCAAGCTGTCTCCGGGTATGTGGGTCACTGTGATATCAGGTCATAGGCTAGATAAGACCAGCAGTTTATAACTCTCAAAAGGTGGGGTGGGAAACCTCCACTTTTCTGCCAATGCAAATATTTGACATTGACTTTACCCTAAAAAAATATTATTTATATATATATATGCAAAGTTAACAACAGGCATTTGATCAAATTTGACTTTCAAAAATTCAGGGATCTAATCATATGAAAATCAGGCAGCAATGCAGACTACCACAGTTTAGTTTTTAAAATTAATCTGATGGCTAGTACAGTACTGAATTGAATACCCTATTTTTCAATTGTTTGAAAGAAATTTGTTACACTTATAAAATAGTTGATCTGCTCTTTTTTAAATAGATCTTTAGTCCTCTGTTTTAGACAGTTTCACTTTAGAATATTAAATGAAGTGATGCTGATATCTGTTAACTGAACAAGCTTCAACCCATGTGGACATGATGTATAGCCCTAAAGTCTTGAATTGTAATTGACTATTGATGTACAGCATGCACAGAGCTTGTTCTGGATTGAGTTTCCCCGGTACCATTCAATAAAATCACGAGTATCAAACAATGGGGACAAATTCACTCTCAGTTCTATTTTATGGACTTACCTGGGTTGAGATCATCAAAGATTATTTTGGTTCTATGTTTCAGTATTACAGGTGGTCTTAAATAAAACCCTAGATCCAGGTGTTTTGGAATCAGGACCCAAATCCAGATCTGTTGACCCAAACTGAAATTTTTCACATCTTGTGTCCTGGCCCTTTAAAATTCTTCCTATCCTTCAGGAGATTTCGTGTTCATTGGAGTGGATGCCATGGAACAACATTAAGAACTTCCTTTCCTGTAGGACAGGAGGACATTTACATGGCCAGGATGGTGTATTTCTTTCATGCAGTATGTTGTATGCAAAGTGAGTGATCTAATCACTTGAATTGCATTTACAGATTCACATTCTAGTTTATGCATGTGCAAAGGCTAAGAGCCAAATTCTGGCAGCCTTCTCCATAAAGCTCAATCCAACTCCCACTGAAGTGAATGGAAGTCTTTTCATTGACCTTAATGAAAGTGGATCAAGTACATAATGCATAGTAATTTACTCTGAGAAGTCTCTCTAACTTTAATGAGATGGCTCTGGGAATAAAATACTACTAATTATGAGTAAGGGAGGCAAAATCTGGCCCTAACACACACACTATTTCAGCACATTTTTACAGGTCCCTTAATGCTGATCCTTATTTCAGCAACCATCAGTTTCATAACTTTTGGTACATGTCTGCTATAGTATTTAAATTAATTAGAAACACATTTGAAAAAAAAAAAAACGGACACTTAGATTTCCTCATAGGCAGAGTGAAGGAGTAGGTGGGGGAGAGAAATTTATAAGTGATTTGAACTGGAGCATGCTGGTGCTGTTTAGCTCTTTTTACTACCTCAGCATGAAGCAGTTTATTCTTAGGCAAAATAACTTGATTTGCCTACATCAGAAAATGAAGATAGACAAGCTTTAAAACGTTAAATGTGCACATGCAAAAATAAGAAGCCAATGAAACCGTTCCAAAGCCACATAATCTGAAAAGAAAAGATGTCACTCCTACTTTTTCAGTGGTTCATTTTAAAACTTAAGAATCCTTCTGCTGAGAAAAACCTGGTTAAAAAGTTAAATGCTGCCTTTGAAGAGGAGTTGGTTAAAATGAATCCTGCTAGCCCCCCAAGTCCAAGCCTGCCTGACCCCCTGGGGCTGAGTTTAGGCAGTTAGCCTGAGCCACCACCCATGCCAATGTCCACATTGCTATTTTTAGCATGCACAGATCTGTCTCCCAGTGCTGGGAATCACACCTCCCAGTGGCAGTGTAGACATACCCCAAGGCTCAGACAATGACAATGACAATCCCTCCTGGATTTCAGGTGTCAGAACAATGCTTTGGGCTGCTCTGGGAAACTACACCTTTGGAGCATATCGTATTGCTGTGCTGTGCACCCAGGAGAGGACATGAGGATGCCATGGAAAAAAGCAAAATGAACAATCAAGGGCAAGAAAATAGGTGCTGTCATTTACAGATGAACATCGTGAGAGTACAGCAAGCACAGTACTCTGGATGTACGCCACAGTAGACTACATAAAACAAAACAAGCGACCTGCGAATGTGACCATGCATAGAGTGAACTGAAAATGCAGGAGAAACTTTGCTCATTAGCGTATACCAATTAACAAAGACTCACTCACTCAGAATAGCAGCCATGTTGCATGTGTGTAAGTCACCTATGTGAGACTGTTCCCATATACATCAATAGCTATAGCCTACCTAACCTAAGTAAGAGGAGAACTTCATTCAGAAATATCCCCCTTGGGGATGTTCCTGATTAGTGCTGGTAACCTAGGAAACAATGTGAATTGAACGTTGCAATAGAGAATCCACCCGTGTGCTGGGATGGCAAGAAGGCGCTTAACTTACAAGGAATCTCCTCTATCCATTATCTGTAAGCTATCTATCCATCCATTCATCTTTTTAAGGTATTTCTAGGCTGCATGTTCGCATAATTTACAAGCACCAGATTGTAATCACATCCCCCACCCCCCCAAAACACACCCTGCAATACCTGCCAGTCATGTTTTTGCATGCCACCCCAATACCACAGTCTTATTTTACCCCTTCCTCACCACAGAATTGAATATCAAGTGTACACCATTCCATATGCTCCACTTACACATGTGAGTTCATTTTGCATCCATCTTGCACCTGCACTGTAGAATTTGTTAACAAGCTTGAGACCTGCTTACATCTCTGGTGAAGAAGTTACTGCATTTTAGTTATAGAAATGTATTGAGTATGTTTTACATTCTTTTTCAGGCTTTGAAATACCCTTATTTTCAAGTTGGCCAAGTTTTAGGACCTCCTCCACAATATTTGGAACAGAAACAATCTGTTGTTAAACCTGTTCAGCCAACAGAGCCAAAGCCAAATCTACCGAAATTAGAATCTGTATCAAAACTAGAATCTGTATCCAAGCCAGAATCTCAGTCTTCACCTGATGCACTTCACGAGACTCAGCCACAACTTCCGTCAAAGATTAACCACCAACCTCTCCAGCAAATCCAGCTGTCACAGAATACAACTAACCAACAACTTCCCCAACAGCAGCAGCCGCAACCACTTCTTCCAGCCATCAATAAAAATTCATCACCAGTAAGTTATCAATAAAAGTTAAGAGCATATATATGAAATAATTTGTCCGTGTTAGCTGGGGTACAATCACTAGATACCCTTTTTTTTAAAAGGGGTCACATTTTCCACTAAATACTGTCACAGTTCAGGGCAACTACACCTGTATTTCCCCTCCGTGGTCCATCCTGAGCCCCCAAATTTAGGGTTCCAACCTCCCAGCTGTTGCCTTTCTTGGTGGAGACATGCGTCCCTCTCCCTCCTGACTAGGGTATGTTCAGACTGCACAGTTTCCTTCCTTCAGCACAGAGAGGTTGTTCAGGTACACATGCTTGCTTTCTCTTTAGAGACAGTTAACTGGTGTAACTGCTACAGGTATGTAACCATGCAGCACTTCCTATGCAAGCCTGCTTTATTAAGGTAAAAAGCATTACAGAGAAAATATATTAAAAACAATAAAAGCACCTACACACATGCTAATAAGCTACCAGAATTAATTCCAACACTAACATGGGCTCTGGCAGGAACCGTCCTTCAACCCCCACCCACCCACTTGTGGTCACAAGTTCATTCCAGCCTCTGCATAGAACAAGCACCCAGCCTTATGAGACCTCAGTAGGCCCAGTTCTTCTAATCCTACCCTAAGGATTGGGGCATTCCATGGAGCAGGGATCCTGTTCATTTGCTGGAGCAGGAAGAAGACCATGAATCAGTTTAAAACCAAATGATTTATTCAAAAACCCTTTCTTTGTCTATTGGTCCCTGGAGAATCCAGTTGGAACTAGTATTTGCATATCTGTCCAGGAGGTAGCTTCAAAAGATTGATGAGGGAGGAAGTATATCAGCACCCCTGCCCCCCCATCCCTCGTAGAGAAGGCACATAAACAACTGCATTTTTAATGGTGTACCTCAAAGGTATTATCCCTAATTCAATAAGGTTTAATGTAATTAATTAATTAAATCTTAATTCTGTATGGTTTGTTCAGGATATTACAGGATGTTGTCCATCTGTCACAAGAACATCTAAAAGTAGTTTATCAAGGATTAATAAATGATTAATTGATGATTTAATAATGGTTAGTTATTAACTTCTGGACAGTGTAATAGGTTATTTATAATGATGACTTAAAAGCTCATCAGTAGAAGGAATCATGGATGAATGTACCAACAGTATCTGTAACACATACTACTCATGTCTGTAATATGATTATCTAGTAATCATTCCTTTTATAAATTATTTATAAAAAATACCATTAATATAAAGCGTTACCAAAAATGTTTAAATAACCACTTGGAAAGGGTTAGTGCTCCTCCTGCTTGAACCAGGAGTTGGACTAGATTATTTAAGACCACCCTTCCAGTGCTATTATATGTGACATTACTTCTCCAACTGAGGTCTGCCAGCATAATCCTGCTCGGTAATAAGTACCTACAAAATCCATAAAACTCATGTCTTCTAAGCTTTAAACCGGGTCTTGAAATCTTAATTTTATTTCTAAACACTTTTTAATTCTGTACAGCTCAAGCCAAAGCTGGAGTTTGAGCATAAAAACTGTTCAAGAATATTAAGCAATATCTTATGAAATTAAAAAGATATCCAGTATTTTTTTGTTTTATTTCCCCCTGTGATATTCACTGACCTCTAATATGAGAAGTATTTATAAATAGCGGGTTTCCAGAATCATGCTAATGCCCATCAGCTCAACTGCAAATGAATGAAGGAGAGAAGGTCTTTAAAACCTGGTTAGGACTTCATAGGAGACCCTATGGCAGAGGGTGCCTGGGAGAGGCTTGGCCGGCCTGGCCCTGCTCCCTCCTGGGCAGGCCAATCTTCTTTTAGGGTTGTGCCAACTGGCTCTGGACTGCTGGTGATGTGACTGGCTTGTATTACTCTGCCTTCTATTCCTGTCAGATTTTCAGCTCCCAGGTTCTTTCTGCAGGCTTGAGCCAGTGGAACCAAAGAGATGAACTAGGCCCAGCAAATTGGTACTAGTATATGGTCTCTAAACTGACTTCTTCAGGTAAATTTGGACAACTAGGGCCTGATCCTGCATTGAGCCACACTCAGAATTCCTACTGATACTAATGTCTGTTCAGACATTCAGAACCACTGCAAGATTAGGGCCTGAATTGCTTACCATGAGGAGAGAAAAATCTCTCCAAGCACTTCAGTGCATTCACGCAGGCAATGAACTAGATTTAAAATATAAGAATAGAGAATATTGAAACTTTTTTCTATTGAAAACAGAAGCAAGCAATCACAGGCCTTCAAAATGGTGCAGTTGGTCTTAAAAATTGCAGGAGACGATGGGGTCAGACTCTGTTAAAGACTATGGACAGTTGGGATGACTTGGAGGACACAGAATTTGGAATTTCGTATTCCAAGAAGCCCAGCATTTCACAGTTAAAGGAAAAGAAAACAAAAGAGTTTTTGTTTAGGTAAGTCCCACAATTACATAAGACACTTGATTTGTATCGTGTTTTATTTTATCTTCAATTGGGTTTTAAAGTGAGTTTTCATATATTTTGATGCTTGACTAAAATCTAAAAACATTAAACTAACTTTATTTTCTTTATCCACTAAGTTAGGGACAAATTCTGCCACCCTTACTAATGTTCAGTAGTAACTCACTCTTAAAGTAGCCTGTAAAGGGGTGGGCTGCCCCTCTGCACCCTCTCTTGGCCATGTCTGGCCCTGCAGGTATGCCTCACCATACTTGAGGCTGACTGGTTATTAACAAGTGTACTTACTTTGATGGAGGCAATGAGAAACCAAACAGCCTAATTCACATAAGTAAGCCTCCCTGTAATGAAGCCCCATAAAGGGAGCACTTGGGCAACATTTAAAGCTTTTGGTCTCAGGTCTTCGTTATTGACTAATGTCTTCTTTTTTTTTGTTATGCTCTCAGTTGAGGAATGTAGTATATGATATTGGTTGGGGAGAGTTTTTTTTTCAATGATTCTTTCACCTAGTGCTGCATGTTTATTTTTATTTTTTTCATTTTCAGGATGATTATGTTCCTTTGCTCTTGTGTGTTAAAAAAACCACACATACACTGAAAATATACTCCTGTTCAGTCTATTTTACACCAAGTGATAAATGTTTTCTTGTTGTAAACTTATTTTGTGATTAGGAACTGATTTGTGTATCTCAGTCCCCAGTCAGAGATAAACTTTAAGCATTCGGTAGTCACCAGGTAATGGTGCTCTTAGAATAGACCTGGACACACTTTTTTCCACATACAGCCTGAGCCTACTCCCATTGAATTAAATAAGAGTTTTGCCATTAACATCACTAGAAATAAAATCAGGACCACGATCGTTACTTGGAAAAGATTTGTGGAGTTTGGATGAGAGCACTGTACTTATCAGGCTAAAGTAAATATCTGTAATTCTGAGTCTAGAGTTATCAGTTAAATTACTAGATATCTTGGTTTTCAGCATGCCAGAGCCAAAGGCCTTGGGCTGTATCCAATCAGGAGGGGAAAGCAAAGCTCTGATGCGAAATGACTCTGGAATATCAAATACATCAGCAAAACAATACTACCTGAGACAATCAAGATATCTTCCTGGTAAGGGAAAAATCTTTGTCATGGAGAACACAAGTTTTGAAGGGACTATCTGTGATACCTTTTATTTTTGTTCTTCTGATTTGATAATTTCACCTTTCATTGACTAGTTTACATTTTCAGACTTTTGGCCAAATACTATTCCAGTTCTTCAGGAATACAGGGCCCTCAAACACAGCATAGTTGGCACGAGAGGACCAGGCTGGGTAGAGAAGGTCTCAGCACCACTTGCATACTGTGGCAGTTCACTCCACAGGTCCACTTAGCGGTAATGTCCAAACCTGCTGACCATATCAGTACCAGATACTTTTGTCCATTGGTAAGAGAGGCTCATCAGCTAACACAACCAGTACAGTTCCTGATATCCAGAACTATAATCCAGTTGACCAATATCAAGGAATTTGAGGACTGAGGACACTGCCAGAGTTGCCTCAGCACAACCTTCTCAGTGATCTCCCCTAATAATAAGAAACTGGTTATGTATTGGTTAAACAAATTGTCAGCATCAAGATTTAGTTTTTTGAACCTTATACTCATAATGGCTTCTTAAAGAACTACTGTTATCCTGTTCATCTATAGGGAAAGGCTGACAATCTCAACTGATAGTAGAGTCAGTCTACTATTAAAATGAAATGCTGAAGTTTAGTTTCTCTAGGGTTGCAGCCAGGTACCCAGCGCTGAAGGCAGCGCCACTGCCAACAGCAATGGAGAAGTAAGGCTGGCAATACCATCCCATGCCACCTTTACTTCTGCGCTGCTGCTGCTGCTGGTGGCGCTGCTTTCAGAGCTGGGTGACCAGCCAGCAGCTGCCATGCTCTGCTCTGCCTTCAGAGCTGGGCAGCCAGAGTAAAACTAAAGATTTTCTGTAAAAATGCAAATTCTGCATATTTCCTTGGCAAACAGATTTCTAGGATCCATGCTAATCAGTCCAACTCCGCGGCTGTAGATTGAAGCCATCTCCCACCTTGATAATCTGAATGATTTTTGGTTTGTCTGAAATTCAGGCAGAAAGGACGACTCAATATTTGTCCCCTCAACACACATCTGTTTTCTTGGGAGTAGAATAGGCAGCTCAATTAAAATCTGAGCAATTTTGTCTACAAAGTAATAGGAAAATTCTTTAATCGCCAGGAGCAAGAATAGGGAGCTAAGAAAGGAAGGGGAGTGGTTTACCTATAAGTAGTTGTCTCTGAAAGTAGGCTATAATAAGCTCTCTGGTGCCATACTACTCATCTCCTCTCCACTATTACACTATGTTACATTCATTTCTATATCAACTTAGTTAGCTTGAAAAGGAGCTTTTGGTTCACTTTCAAGTGTTCTCTGCTCTGACTGGTGCAGACTGACCGGTAGAACTGTAGCTAGCAGTAGTTGTTGGGGCACTCATGTCCTCCCTCGCCCCTCTCTCAGTGAATGTCGAGCATTCCAGGGTGAGGATATAAAGAAGTGTGGTGCTCAGTTCCTTCTAAGCTGCAACCAGCTGAATGCTTTTTGTGTGAAGCTCTGGAGTCCTCCCAGATCTGTGATTAGTTAGCTAGTTTTAAGTAGTTATATAGTTATAGTAATACAATTCCTTACTTGGCATGGAACTGAAGAACAACTCCGGTTTCAAAAGATGTGTATCTTGTCTGGCATTGTTCTGACATTGGATATACATGTAGATACCTGGCAGTCACCCTCTAAGTGTTCAATTTGATGAATGTTCACAACAAGAGCAAAGAAAGTCAGAATAGACTTCAAGTAATCCTTTTTAAAAGAAGCAGTGGAATGGGTTACCTAGGGAGGTGGTGGAATCTCCTTCCTTAGAGGTTTTTGAACGTCAGGTTTGACAAAGTCCTGGCTGGGATGATTTAGTTGGGGATTGGTCCAGCTTTGACCCGGGGGTTGGACTAGATGACCTCCTGAGGTCCCTTCCAACTCTGATATTCTATGATTCTATGATTCAGTGTTGGCAAAACCATCTGGAAATGAAACAGGGCCAGGAGCAAAGAAAAGCCCACAGACCGGAGTGGCACTGGACGAGTCTACTAGAAATAATGAGTCTTTTTCCTCTGTTCTTAGGAGTCACTGTGATAAAGATCAGAAAAGGAAATCCTCCTGAGGCTCTATGTCTAGAGACAATACTTTTTAGTAAAGACTCAGCTGGTAGGGTAGGCATAATTTTCCAGTTCTTCGTGGTGTCAGCTTCTGTGGGGAAAAAAAGGCAATCTGCAGGAGAAAGACTCCTCTAAACAAAGTATTTTTAAGGAGCCATTGTTTTGATATATATCCTCATAGGAAGGTGAGGAGATGTTCTTCCTCAGATCTGGATGAGCTGGTTCTGAAAGTGAGACGTTAAGGAACCATTGAGATGAAGGAATGCTATGGAACTAGTGACTAGTAGCAGTGTGGCACTGCAGCAGTTAATAGTCAAAGTACAGATTCATGGATCCGATACATTCCTGGTTCAGCCAGTGGTTGATTCCGTTTATAGTAATGGAAAAGGAAGCAGATATACTGAAACAGTCCCAGATACGTGTTTTTCCGGAAAAGAGAGATCATGTAAAAGAATTGAGAATTTCTTCTCTTCTCCCATCACTTAAAAAGCCTTCTAGTTCTCCAGAGAAGAATTTTTCTCCGATGTCCCATATCCAACCAAGGGTAGTATTATCTCCAGTTCCTTCTGAACTGAGAATAACCTTGGATCAGAAGAAGAAAATATGAATTGTGAACCAGACCTGCGGAAGGAATATTATGGACAAAAAAGATGAGGGATTGCCCTATTTTGGATTAAGAAAAATAAACAATTCTTATTGAGGATTTCTATGTATGATTAAGATCCATATTCAGTACCAATCAGTTACATTTTACAATATTTATTGTAGCTCAAGAAAACAGCTTTTTCACTATCCTTAGTAAAGGTTCATCTCTCAGTTATATCAGCACAACATGTACCTATGGAGAACAAATCAATATTTATTAATAATGTAGTTAAGAGGTTCTTAAAAGGCCTCAATAATTTATACCTTCCAATAAGACATCCTATGCCATCTTGGAATTTAAACATAGTGCTCTCACAATTGATGAATATTAGGGTTGGAAGAGACCTCAGGAGGTCATCTAGTCCAATCCCTTGCTCAAAGCAGGACCAACACCAACTAAATCATCCCAGCCAGGGCTTTGTCAAGTCGGGCCTTAAAAACCTCTAACGATGGAGATTCCACCACCTTCCTAGGTAACCCATTCCAGTGCTTTGCTACCCTCCTAGGAAAATAATGTTTCCTAATATCCAACCTAGACCTCCCCCACTGCAACTTGAGACCGTTGCTCCTTGTTCTGTCATCTGCCACCACTGAGAACAGTCTAGCTCCATCCTCTTTGGAACCCCCCTCAGGTAGTTGAAGGCTGCTATCAAATCCCTCCCTCACTCTTATCTTCTGCAGACTAAATAACCCTCAGCCTCTCCTCGTAAGTCATATGCCCCAACCCTCTAATCATTTTTGTTGCCCTCCGCTGGACTCTCCCTAATTTGTCCACATCCCTTCTATAGTGTGGGGGGGCGGGAACTGGATGCAATACTCCAGGTGTGGCCTCACCAGTGCCGAATAGAGGGGAATAATCACTTCCCTTGATCTGCTGGCAATGCTCCTACTACTACAGCCCAATATGCCGTTGGCCTTCTTGGCAACGAGGGCACACTGCTGACTCATATCCAGCTTCTCATCCACAGTTATCCCTAGGCCTTTTCTACAGAACTGTCGCTTAGCCAGTCAGTTCCCAGCCTGTAGCAGTGCATGGGATTCTTCCTTCCTAAGTGCAGGACTCTGCACTTGTCCTTGTTAAACCTCATCAGATTTCTTTTGGCCCAATCCTCCAATTTGTCTAGGTCACTCTGGACCCTATCCCTACCCTCCAGCCTATCTACCTATCCCCCCAAGCTTAGTGTCCTCTGCAAACTTGCTGAGGGTGCAATTAATCCCATCATCCAGATCATTAATGAAGATGTTGAACAAAATCGGCCCCAGGACCAACCCCTGGGTCACTCCACTTGATACCGGCTGCCAACTAAACATAGAGCCGTTGATCACTACCTGTTGAGCCTGACAATCTAGCCAGCTTTCTATCCACCTTATAGTCCATTCATCCAATCCATACTACTTTAACTTGCTGGCAAGAATACTGTGGGAGACTGTATAAAAAGCTTTGTTATATTTGTAAACACATCCACCACCCATATCCACAGAGCCATTTATCTCATCATAGAAGGCAATCAGTTTGGTCAGGCATGACTTGCCCTTGGTGAATCCATGTTGACTGTTCCTGATCACCTTCCTCTCCTCCAAACTTCAAAATGGATTCCTTGAGGGCCTGCTCCATGATTTTGCCGGGGACTGAAGTGAGGCTGACTGGTCTGTAGTTCCCCGGGTTCTCTTTCTTCCCTTTTTAAAATATGGGCACTATATTTGCCTTTTTCCAATCATCCGGGACCTCCCCCAATTGCCACAAATTTTCAAAGATAATGGCCAATGGCTCTGACATGAGACCTCCCTTTGAACCTTTGGCAAGCTGTAATTTATTTTGTTTGTCTATTAAGACAGTGTTTTTTTTATAGCCATCACCTATGCAAGACACATACGTAAACTACGTGCATTAATGGCTGATCCACCATTCACTGTTTGTCATAAAGACAAAGTAGTTCTTTGTAAATACCCTAGATTTTTTATCAAAAGTGATCTCAGATTGCCATATAAACTAGTCTGCAATTTTATCAGCTTCCTTTCCCAAACTCCAATCTCACGATGGAGAGGATAAATTACATACTCTGGCTGTTAAAAGGGCTTTAGTCTGGTATTTAAACAGGACTAAACAATTTAGACTGTCCCTAAATTTGTTTAGCAACTAAGAACAAGGGGAAAGCTGTATCTGTATAAATGCTAGGGTTAGAGTATTTATTAATGAAGCTTATAAACTGATGGGGTTGCCCATTCCTCAGGGAATTAAAACATTCTACTAGATAGAAGGAAGCCTCTATGGCTTTTTCTAGATATGTTTCTCTGAGAGATTTTTATGGCAGCAACATGGAGTTCTGTTAATACCTTTTCTAAATCTAAGGAATTGTATTTAGATCTGATGCAAGATTTGGCAACGCAATACTGCAGTCCTTATTCAATTAGGATTCTGTCATCCCGCCTGCCTGGGTCAGAGTACTGCTTAAGCTATGTCATGAGTGGGAGTATGCAGAGGACTCTTGAAAGAAAAATGAAGGTATTTGCCTCTGAGGTTCTTTGAGGTGAACTCTGCATATTGACACTTCCTGCCTGCCTTTCCTCACTACCTTAGAGTCCTACTTACCAAAGGGCTTGCAGTCATAGGTAAAAGAACTGAAGTGGCTGGAGCACCACACCCGTTTATACCTTTGCCTTGGGACCCTGGATGTTCACTGATGGGAGAGATAAGGAAGGTGCCCGAGCACTGCAATGGCTACTGCTAGTTAGAGCTCTACTATTCAGGCTCCATTAGTCAGAGCATTTCATAAGTTTGAATATGCAGAGTCCATCTCAAAGAATCTCAGTTACAGGTAAATAATCTTCATTTGCCAAAGAAATGAGTTTGTTATTCACTTTGTAAAAAGTATAGTTGAGGCCTTTCCAGTGAATTCCCTGCGGGGAAGAAAAAAGTCAATTCCTTAATGTCAGATAAAGGCCCAAAGACTCAAGAACATTAATCTCTAAAGAATGTGTGTCTACCTATAGATGGCTCAGTTGATAAATAATCTCAATTTCCTTCCTTTTTCAAGGACATTTCTAATATTCCTCTGGTTCAGAGCCACATTTTTGATATGAGGAGTGTATTAATATATTCATCCAAAAATAGAAACCAACTTCAGCTTGTAAGAAAATCATAGCACCAAGGCAGATTTTTAAAAAATGGTATTTAATAGTCTTTCTAAATATTAAATCTGGACACTTACCTCTTACTTTAATTCCACTAGATCTGGGTGCTGCTTTCATGCTGTTTAATCACATCCACCTCTTTCAATACATCTGTGTTTTAGAAATACCAATTTTTCTTTTAGTCATGGGAAGCCTAATATTTTGCATTCCCCTTTGGTGGTTGTAACTGTTTAATGGTTTTATATTTCATCTGGGAAATACAGCACTTGGTAGCACATAATTAACTTTTCTGTACATAACACATGGCTGTTAATTACTTGATTGCCATAAAAACTTTACTACATTTTTAATATGTTGTTTGACTTTCATTTAACTATGGTAGCTCACATTGGTCACATTAAGGGAGACTTTTACAAGGTTAAGATCAATTGTCACTGAAGCTGTTAAAAGTTTATCTTATACATTTGATCATTACAATTCTCTCTGTACTAGTCTTTTTTAGGGTTCAGTTGTAAAACCTAAGCAGTATGCATCATTCTTTGAGTTATAGGAAAAAAGTTTTAGTTCTTTGTAACATCATGTAAAGTCCAAATACTTTTAATGTACTGTCAAGGTGTTCTTCCATTCTTAAGATTTTAACTGCTTAATATGTTGTGTTTTGAAATTGACGTTCACACTCTTTAAAATGATTGCTTTTCCAAGGTGTAAACCCCAAGAATGTCTCCTTAGTAGCAGCCAGTAAAGAAGGCTCTCAAGGAATCTGGAACAATTCATTGTTTTCTAAACCACTAGGGCCTACTGGAGGAGGTCTGTCTTTGAACAGAACCAATGCAGGTAATTCGGAATTACAAAAAGTACAATTGTATATGCCATATTATTTTGTGTTAATTTTTATTGTATAAAATTAATTTAGGTAAGGTCTCCTAGTTTACAATTGTTTCACTGTATTCTTGCTTTTCTCTTTTAATGTGTATCCCCTGAAAAGAACAGTGTACTCTATATTTATATGCCAAGGTATATATTCACATTTCAGGGTGTGGAGGAAGTACATGCTAGAAGTCCAATTATGAAGCTCTGCCAGGAAGAATTTGAGTTCTAATTGATCAGAGCCATTAATTTCCTGTGTTAATTTAAGAAAGTATTTTGATTGTATTATTCCTAGTAAATTTGAACGGGAACATTGGATAAAAGAGCAGTCCCTCGTATAGAAAAAAACAAACAAAAAAGGATGCTGAGTGTGAGCTCATATAATAAAAATAATGTGCAATATTTACACAGTGCTTTGTTTGAGGATCTCAAAGCAGTTCTCAAACATTGAACCTGCCAGCCTTCCTCAAACTAAATAGTACTTTACTGCATGAGTAATCCTGCTTTCTTCAGTAAGGTTGTTGGAGTAATGTACTTGACAATATGAGTAAGGATGGCAGAGTCTGGCTTTTGCGGATTAAGCATCACACCACTACTGAACTGTATGATACATACTATATCCCCATTTTACTGGTGGGAAAATTAGGCACAGAGAGGTGAAGTGACTTGATTAAGATCTCTTAGCAAGTTAATGTTAGAGCCAGGACTCTTGGATTCCCAGCCCTGTATTCTAACCATATGACCACATTATTACTTTTTATGATTTTAGATAATAAAGTAATAATTTAGAAGCAGTTTCTCAGCTGGTGTGAATAGGTGTTCCTCCATTGACTTCAACAGAGCTGTGCTGATTTACATCACCAGCTGAATATCTGGCCCTAAAAACTTTTGTAGCTGTCTTCATCCTGAAGGATCTTTGAGTTTTAAAGACTATGTAGAGGTCTCACTTCCTTGCAACTGCCATGCTCCTTCTAATAAGAGGGAGTGTGGTAGCCAATCTGTGCCATCAACAAAACAGGTTTTTCTGTTTGAAAGTGAAGCACATATTATCCGTCTGAAATTACATGAGTAGTGTTTGGTAGGAAGAAGGTCATTACCCACACTGGAATTTTTGACACAATGAGGGGCATCTCTTTCAAATATCTATCATAGGTATTTATGTGACCCCTTCACTATAGTTTCTGAGCACCTCAAAATGTATTTATCCTGACAATACCCCTGTGAGGTATGGCGGTGCTATTATCCCTATTGTACAAATGGGGAAATGAGGCAGACAGACAAAGGGCCAGATTTTCAAAAGTATTCAGGTGCATAAAGATGCAGAGAGGCACCTAGTGGGATTTACAAGAATGCTGAAGCAAGGTAAGCCCTAACTGACATTGAAATAAATTGGAGTTATATACTTAACTTGCATAGGTGCTCTGGAAAATCCCACTAGGCACGTCTCTGCATCTCTAAGCACCTAACTACTTTTGGAAAAACTTGACCTTGGGCAAGTCATTTAGGACATGTAGTGAGTCTTCAGGGGAGCAGGGTCAAGTCTACACTCAGGTCTGCAGTCTCAGGCTAGCACCTAACCACTGAACCATCCTTTCTCCTTTAAATAGTGCCATGGCATTTTCAGAGACTTCCCTTTAACCTTTTATCGAAAGAAGGACCCCTTCAATCAACAGTACTCTTCCCCTTAATACCATGCTGTGGTAATGCTTCAGTATTGATTCACAGGAGAGTGCCATCTAAAGAACCAGTGGACCTACTTTCTCGAATACCTGGCTTTTTCTTTAAGGTCTCGAGGCCTAGTAGTGACCTGCCTGAATCCATTTTAGCTTATAAAATCGGACAAGATCACAGCTCCAGGCTATAAGAATGTGAAATAAAGCTGAATAATTCTGTTCCAGATAAACTAAAAATCAGTGCATTATATAAACGTATAATGAAATGCAAACATATGAAATGGACACAATCAACCTAAAAATCCCACTTCTGTCTGGAAAATGTTGCCTCCAATAACTATACATGAAAGAGTTTAGAGAAGAAATACTATTTATTTTCTGTTTGTTAACTTGGTGCATTTGATAGCACTTTCTAAAGCTATTTTCACCATTTCTCCTTTATAGTCCATCAGTTTCTTGTCTAGCTCTTTTACACAACACCACCAGGGTAAAACACATTTAAGAAAGACACATGAAAATATGTTTGGTAAAACACAAACATTGTCAGGGGGTCCCAAAGGAAGGTATAGCAACTGAAACTACTTTTTTTTTTAGTCATTTTTTAAATTTATTTATTAGATTTGTCATTTCCCCTTAACTGATGAAATAACCAAATTAAATTTGTTACTTTGGAATGGTATTTTTCCTCTCCCTCAGTGTAACTATAAAACATAACAATTTAAGAGCAGGTTAGTTCCAAATGATGAGGCACTCTCTCTATGCAGAATTCTAGGGTTAGGTTCAGTTAGGCCTGCAGTTTGACTAGCTTACCATGCTTGAGTGATTTAATATATTTACTGTGAACACGTTGGTGATAAATTATATTCTGCTTCCTTTGAATAGAAGCCTGGTGGTGAGTTCAATACCAGTATTTCCTACTTTAGGGATCTTACACTTTTTGCAAACATAGGACTGAAGTCATTATAGTTATAAAGGTACTTTAAACACTCATTCTCACCCATTTTGATTTCAGGTTTTTTCCCTATTTCTGTTTATAAATCACCTAATCAATTCTTCATCTACATTTTCTGAAAGACTGTCTTTTCATCCTTTTCCTCTTTCTTTCTTTCATCTGCCTTCTCTGCAGAAGAAAACATAATTAAACCAATTGAAAAACTGTCATGCAAAGAAAGGTTGAATGAAAAATTAGAGGAGCCAAAAGGTAATTTATGGCAATTATAGCTTGGGATAGATGATTCTTTGCAGGTTTCATAGTTATGTCATGCATTTTCTTATTTTGCTTTTCTTGTAACAGTTGCTCTTGTATAATATATTCCAAATGATCTTACACTTTTGTTTCAGTTTTAATCACTATTATTCCATGTTGTGGCAAACCCTGCCCTCCACCCTGTAAAAGTGAGGGATCCCAGTTGCAGAGGGATCATTTTGGTTTTGCTGTGCAGGTGAGAGGAGGGAATGAAGGGGATCTGCTTGCCACTGAGCTGTGCTCCACAAACTCTCTTATAATGGCAGGGGGGATTGAGGACACAGCTGGGGTCAGTCAGTCTGTGATTGTTTACTTGCGCATGGAGCAGAGTGAAGGAATTTCCCCATTGTGAACTTCGCTCATTATTGTTTGTGTCAAGCAGGTGAACTCAAAATATATGAACATATTTAAAGAATCCTTTTAGCGTTTCATACTGAAATACTGGGCCACATCTTTTGTCTATCTGTCAAGCTCTAGTAAACATGCTTAGTTATTGATCCTGCCCCATTAAAGTTAATGGGAGCTCTTCTGTTTACTTCAGTGGGTTCAGGATCAAGTCCTTACTGGAGACAGTCCTGTGACAGTGGGAGGGGAGGGCAGTCATTTCCCTAGGACTTAGGCCAACTTGAAAACTAACCTGTAGGCTGTCCTCAATTACACTAGTGCAGCCTCGGAAATCTGAGAACAGAAATTGGCGATATAGTTATTAAATTCATTAAATCATATTTAAGTCTGTCTGTCTTGGTGCCCTGGTGCTAGCCCTGTTCTGAAGCCAGAGCTTATTCCACCACCATAGTAATAAACCTCAACAGCTTCTGCAGTAATAGGCTTTTGGTGTTCTGCATTAAGCCAAGTGCTTTAAGCACCACAGCACTGTTGCTGTACTAAGGCACACCCTTACATAGCTCACTGCTTTGGAGTATGTCTTATGAATTTAAAATTATTCATTTAAAATGTTGGTTGGTGTTTTTAACAATTTGATGGTGGGAGAGTACTGATCTGCTATGTTCTTCCACTAAGACAGAGAGTTCCTAGTAGAAGGAGAAGAGAAAACAATGGGGGGGAATTTATAAGTATTTTTCTGTACGACAGATAAATTCTGATATATAAAAGGCTGTGTGCACACTAAAATTACTTGGCCAAAATGTTCCAAAGTTGCTAACACCAGTGTATACAAGAGAGTCCTGTTGTTGTCAAGCTCAGAGCAAGTTACCATGACACAGTGCTTACAATGCTAGCATTTATAGGACTTTTGTCTCCACTAGGGCTGCTTCACATGCACATTTTCATGATGCAGCGAATCCTGGCTACATTAGCACTTGCTCTATTCAGCCACCTGTGTATCTGCACTATTGCTGGAAAATGGGTATGAAGTTTTCTAGGGCAGAAGCACATGCATCTACACTAAGTGCTTTTATACCTTTGCAGCTTGCTAAATAGATGCTAGCTGCAACTGTGCAGAGCAACTCCACTTGGTTACACTGATTTTACATTGATGTAATTGCATTTACTGCAGTGAAATTACACTAGTGTAATGGTGTGGAGAATATAGATGTGAAACAGAATGCCTCACACCGTATTCACTGCAAGCATTACAGAGCCTGTGGACTGTTTCCTGGCAGAACTGATGCATAATACCTAAGGAATATAATATCAGCTCTTCATGTTTTTGGATTATCCCATTACTTGCTTCAGATGGCTCAATGGCTATGACCTGAATGAGGAACCATGCATGCATTGTGAGGGGCAGAGGTCACATCCTTATACTTGCTGATGCCATGACAGAGTCTGTTAATGAAATGACTGACTTTACATGAGCTTGTATTGTCCAGGAGGGTACTGGGCAGTATAAGACGCAGATATCTGGGGGAAGTCTGGGACTGGGAATTTGTTGGTGTTGATCTACAGCAGAGGTCCCCAAACTGTGGGCCAGGGATGTGTGAAGGAATGTCCGGGGGGGCACAGTGGGGCCTGGGTCAACCCTGTGCGGGCGGGGCAGGGAGGGAGTGCCATCCAGCTCCTTCCCGCCCCCAGCTCTGCTCTGGTCC